CCTCGCAGTTGGAAGTCTGGAGTGGGCGCATCTTATCAGCAGAGCCTACGACATATGCCATGACTTAGTTCACAGGAAGGTTGAGAAAATAAGTAGCTGGTGTTTTCATATGTAATACTAGGAGGTGGACTCTGCTTCCCACAGAGTTTCATCGAGTGGGAAATTCTCCATATGTGGGAAAGGGATTTATATCATGAGAAGCTAAAACACCAGAACAGAACAATCACAAGGAAGAGAAGGAGGAGGATATCTACTAGCCTCTCATTTTCTTGACAGCCAAGCTTCTTGAAAGTGTATTCTTAGCTGGCTTTTCTCTTCTACTTATTCCCTCATTCACTCCTGTAGTAATCAGCTTTTGCCACAATAATGATGCAAAATTCAGTGGCTTAACACTACAAGCATCTATTTTTGTTACGCCTCAGGCTGAAGGTTGCCTGGGGTGGGTTTCCAGCCTTCAGTATGGATTTTTGTCTGCTCCACATGTCTGTTATCTTCCTTGGGCCAGTAGCTCCCCAGGGCACGCTCTTCTCTTAGTGTAGGCAGGGGAGTGGAAACACGTGATACCTCTTAAGGCAAACTGCTACTTTTGCTCACATTCCATTGGCCAGAAGTCTGGCAGGGAAATACACTCCATCTACTCTCACCCACTGCAAGAGGTAGTTAAATCATCTACTCTACTTCTACTCTTCTGGCTTCTGACCCTTACTGTTGGGGGGTCAGAATAGCTGTGCCATTACGGTCAACAATAACCCCACAATTGCCCAATCAAATAGACATTTCCCAGGCTGGGCATAGTGGTTCACATCTGTTAATCCCAGCACTTTGGGAGGCCAAGGCAGAAGGATCACTTCAGCTCAGGAGTTTGAGACTAGCCTGGGCAACACAGTGAGACCCTATCTCTACAAAATAATTTTAATAATTAGCCTATATGGTGGCATGTACTGTGGTCCCAGCTTCTCAAGAGGTTCAGGTGGAAGGATTGCTTGAGCACAGGAGGTCGAAGCTGCAGTGAGCCATGGTTGTGCCACTGCACTCTAGCCTGTCCTTCCCCCCAAAAAAATTCTCAGAAGATGGAGAGACAGCCAGGTGCCAGGTCATGCAGTACCTATTAGGCATGATTAGGGCTTTGGATTTAATTCTAAGTGTAGCAGAAGCCATTTCATCATTAGATATGTGACTGACGTGGTCTTTCTATAACGCAGATCTGGTCACGTCATGTCCCTGATTAAATTGGCAAGTGAATGTCCCATTGCCAAGAAGAAAAGGTAACGTAAGACTTATATAGCCTTAGAAGTCTCTGATAGACCCCTGATGCAATATCTTCTGTCTTTCACACCGTTCCTTGTACTCTTTGGTCTTACCATGTAGAGCTACTTATGGTTAATTTTAGTTTGGATTCTCCAAGAAGCTGATCCTGAGACAAGGATTTGAGGGCAAGTAATTTATTTGGAGGTGACAGAAACACAAGTGGGGAAAGAGGCAGAAGTGATATAGGGGAAGGAAGGTAATCAATAAAGGGCGAACTATTAAGCCAGCTACCACAATGGACAACAGGAACTTAATCCTTTAAAGAAACTCTGAGAAACACACACCTCAGAATTATCCCCTCTAAGTGCTGAAGGAGCTTCGATGTTTATCTACTAACTCCTGAGAATCAGTAGGTAGTTGAGGGCTGCTCCCAGGAGGAGTTAACTCTCAGACATTTCCAGTATGTCATGAGTCTGAACAGCATGGTTTTCTATAGTTCTTGGGAGCTGGGGGAAGAGCCTTCAGGCAAAGAGATGCACTTAGCACAAGCAGAGGCTGAGGGATGTGGGTGAGGCACTGAGAGCATCTCCTACAGTTCCTCACACACAATTTCTCCTTGTAGACATCCATAGTTTCATGTATATTTCATCTTCCTGCCTAGGATGCTTTTTCCCACCCTCTCTACCTAGTAAACTCACATTCATACTTCAAGGCCTTCCTTAGATTCCCAAGCAGAGAGGCTCAAGCTCCACTCTGTGTTTTTTTTAGGACATATTATAGCACACACCTCCATTTTTATCACTTGCCATGCTGCTGTACTTACTAGCCGGACTCCTCTACCAGATTATACAGTACAATAATCTAGTAGAGGCTAGATTATCCTCTAGGACAGGGGCTGTATGTTTATAGTTCTTTATATAGTTTAGTGACAGGAATATAGTAGATACATAAAAGCTAGTGAGATAGAAATGTGGCAATGTTCTGGTGCAGTGCTGCATTGAACTGAGGTCAACTTGAGGCAAAATCATAATTTTTTTTTTTGCTCCTTTCTCACCTTCATGGCATTCCCCTCCCTTCACTCACCCAATACCTTGCTCTTCCTTCTCCCTAACATAATATCAAAATCCATTTCTGGATACTTCTCTTACATTAAATGAGCATAAAAAATAGGAAACTTGGGTTGCTATTCATCTGCTGCTGGCTAGCTTGAGGGTCCTCGGGCAATCCTCTTCTCTTTGAGTTTCAGTCTTCTCATCTGTAAAATGATTTCAATGTTCGTGCCAATAATTAGGGGTTTCTTCAAGAATATCTCTATAAGGATGGCTTATAAGGAACTGCCAACAGTGGTTGCCTCTAGGAAGCAGAAATAGGTGGCAATGGGCAAAAGTTGTGAGGGAGATCAACTTTTTCTTTATATCCTGCACTAGCTCCCTAGGACTTCTGCAGCAAATACCGCAAACAAAGTGGCATAAAACAACAGAAATTTTTTTTAAGGTTCTGGAGGCTGGAAGTCCCAAATCAAGTAAACTCATGCTTCAAAGTCTCTGGCAGAGAATCCTTTCCTCCCCTTCTGGGTTCTGGGGGCTCCAGGCATTCCTTGGTTTATGGCTGCCTCACTCCAGTCTGCCTCTGGTCACATTGCCTCATTCTCTTCTGTCTGTTTCTTCTCTCATAAAAGAACACTTGTCATTGGATTTAAGATCCAACCAAGCAATACAAGATGATCTCATCTTAAAATCTTTAACTTATTCTTTATAAGGACCCTTTTTCTGAATAAGATAACATCCGCAGGTTCCAGGGATTTTAATGTATACATACATATCTTTTTGGGGGCCACAATTCAGCCTATCCAGTTGTACATTTTTATGATAATATTGCTTTTCTTTTCTTTTTTCTTTTTTTGAGACAGAGTCTCACTCTGTTGCCCAGGATGGAGTGCAGTGGCACTATCTCAGTTTGCTGCAACCTCCACCTCCCGGGTTCAAGTGATTCACCCACCTCAGCCTCCTGAGTAGCTAGGACCACAGGCTAACTTTTTTGTATTTCAGTAGAGACAGGGTTTCACCATGTTTGCCAGGCTGCTCTCGAACTCCTGACCTCAAGTGATCTACCTGCCTCAGCCTCCCAAAGTGCTGGGATTACAGGTGTGATTCCTGGGCCCAGTGGAGGGAAGATTTCTATGTGACTGAACAGAGACTAAGATTTCCACTTTTCTGCTTCCTGTTCAACCAAATTTTGTCCTTCCCTTAGGATCTGACTTTGAGCCACCTTTTCCCTCCAACTTTTATTTACTGTTGAAACCATGTTATAGAAAATAAAAATGGAACTCTCATCCCATGTGGTTGGAAGTGTAAAGTAGTATGACCACTTTGAAAAACAGTTGGGCAGTATTTTGCAAAGTTGAACTTATGCACACACTCCAGACCAACAATTCCACTTTCATGTCAACATCCTAGAGAAACATTTCTAGTTGTTCACTTATCCGCAACATACAGGTAAGAAAGTTTGTAGCAGCAGAATTCATAGTGGCACAGAATATGAAACTACCAAATGTCCATCAGTAGTAGCATAGATAAAATGTGGTATTTATAAAATGGACCATTACAACCGTGAAAATGAGTGAACTATAGCTATACTCATCAACGTGGGTAAATATCAAAATCATACTATTCTCTAAATGAAGCAGGCAACAGAAGAATAGATGTATACAATATTAATAGTATGTTACTTAAGGTTACAAACATAGGTAGAAAATATAAAAACAAGGGAAAGATTAACACAAGATTCTGCACAGTGGTTACATCTGAAAGAAAGAGAAAAGGGGAACGACCACAGGAAGGGACCCCCAAGTGGCTTCTAAGGTATTGGTAATATCCTGTTGTATAGCATGGGGAGTGGGTACACGAGCGCGAATGTTATTCATCAAACTGTGCATATTAGTTTTATACATTCTTTTGTGTGTCTGATGTATTTAACATCCCATGAGAAAATTCTATTATAGGTGAGGACATGGAGCAATGGAAACTCACACTCATTGCTGTGAGGATAAGTTGGAAAAGTCATTTTGGAGACTATTTTGCAGTATCTAGTAAAGTGGAAATCGTACATGTTCTGTGACCTAGCAATGCCTTTCCTAGATATTCCTAGGTACTGTACCTTAAAGCAGTGCTTTTCAAACATGCTGATCATAGCCTCTTATTGGGAAATACATTTTACATCACAACCAAGCATTTCTCTTTCTTTCAGGCACGTGCATGCGTGGACACACACACACAAATGTAAAAAGGCTGGGAAAAATGTTTGCAAAACAATGCCTATCCCTATTACATGCAGCATATTCTGATATGTTCTATTTCTGTCTATTCTGTTTCATTAAAGGTCTCAACCTTTAGGTTTAATTTAACTCATTAGTAGTTAATGCTTTGGAATGTTTGTGTCCCCTCAAAATTGGATTTAGATGCATATATTGAAACTAATCATCAATGTGATGGTATTAGTTGGTGGGGTATTTGGGAGGTGGTGATGGTAGATTACTGCCCTTTTAAAAGAGGCTCCAAAGAGCTGCTTGGCCCTTTTCACCATGTGGTGACACAGCCAGCAGGTGCCATCTATGAACCAGGAAATGGGGCCTCACCGGACACCAAACCTGTTGCCATCTTGGTCTTGTACTTCCTGCCCTCCAGAACTGTGAGAAATAAATTCCTGCTGTTTATAAGCTACCCAATCTATGATATTGTTGTTTTTATTTTTTATGTCAGACAGGTAATATGCCTACATCTTAACAAGGTTTGAGGGAGGTACATCTCACACATGGGCATAAACATTCACTCATCTCGCTTGCAAACTGCAAAAGGACTGATCTGTGATATTTCATTATAGCCTGAATGGACTAATAGAATTGAGAAACCATAATTTGAGAAAACTGCACTAGAGAAAATTTTCCACGAGATAATTTATAAAAGAATGTTAACTGAGCAGTGCTCAGAATAAAAATAACTGGAAATGAGAATTGAGGAAGAGTCACATAATGGAACGATATATTGCAGTTAAGATGAGTAAACTAGAGCTCAATGTATTAACAGAATGTTGAGTAAAAAAGCCAGTTGCTGAAGCATATGTACAGTATGATGCTATTTATAAAGTTGCAAAACATGGAAAACATGTTGTTTATGGATACACACATATGTAATAAAAATCTAAAACACGCATGGGAACGCTGAACATGTAACTCAGGATTGTGGTTTCCACTGGAGAGAGGGAGTGGAACTGGATCAGAGAGAAACAAAACAGAACTTTAATTATATTTTAAGGTTTTTTTGTTTCTTAATCTTTTTCTTATTTGTTCCTTATTATTTATTGCAGGAGATGGCAAACTACCAATTATGGGCCAAATCTGGTATGCTATTTTTATGTGATCTATGAGATAAAAATGGTTTTTACATTTTTTAATTGTTGAAAAACTTGAAAGAAGAATAATATTTCATGATATGTAACAGAAAGTTCAAATTTCTTTTCTTTTTTTTTTTTTTTTTTTTTTTTTTGAGACGGAGTTTCATTCTTGTTGCCCAGGCTGGAGTGCAATGGCGCGATCTCGGCTCACCGCAACCTCCGCCTCCTGGGTTCAGGCAATTCTCCTGCCTCAGCCTCCTAAGTAGCTGGGATTACAGGCACGTGCCACCACGCCCAGCTAGTTTTTTGTATTTTTAGTAGAGACGGGGTTTTACCATGTTGACCAGGATGGTCTCGATCTCTCGACCTCGTGATCCACCCGCCTCGGCCTCCCAAAGTGCTGGGATTACAGGCTTGAGCCACCGCGCCCGGCCCGAAAGTTCAAATTTCAATGTGGATAAATAAAGTTTTATCAGAACACAGCTCCAAGAGCTTATTTATTGTCTGTGGTTGCTTTCACACTGCAATGGCAGAGATAAATAGCTGCCACGCAGACCATATGGTTGGTAAAGCCTAAAAATATCTACAATCCTGCCCTTGTTAGAAGCTTATGAACCCCTGGTTGACATATATACATATATGTATACATACATATACGTGTTGACATATATGTGTGTATATACATACACACATGTGTGAGGGTCTGTGTGTGCGTGTGTGTATTTTTTTTTTTTTTTTTTTTGAGACAGTGTCTCACTCTGTCACCCAGGCTGGAGTACAGTGACACAGTCTCAGCTCACTGCAACCCCCACCTCCGGGTCTCAAGCGATCCTCCCACCTCAGCCTTCCAAGTAGCGGGGACCACAGGTGTGTGCCACTACACTCCGCTAATTTTTTTGTATTTTTGGTAGAGATGGAGTTTGTGATGTTGCCCAGGCTGGTCTTGAATTTCTGAGCTCAAGTGATCCACCCGCCTCAGCCTCCCAAAGTGCTGGGATTACAGGCATGAGCCACCGTGCCCAGCTATATTTTATGAAATTAAAACTTATGGTAACATTAAAGAAAAGTTCCAGAAGGACCAAAATGTATAATTCTACCCTCTACCAAAATTCGCTTAATTTTTCCATGTTTTCTTCCCATCTTTGACAAAACCTATATATTCTTTTTTTTTTTTTGAGATGGAGTTTCACTCTTGTTACCCAGGCTGGAGTGCAATGGCGCGATCTCGGCTCACCACAACCTCCGCCTCCTGGGTTCAAGCAATTCTCCTGTCTCAGCCTCCTGAGTAGCTGGGATTACAGGCACGTGCCACCATGCCCAGCTAATTTTTTGTATTTTTAGCAGAGACAGGGTTTCACCATGCTGACCAGGATGGTCTTGATCTCTCGACCTCGTGATCCACCCACCTCGGCCTCCCAAAGTGCTGGGATTACAGGCTTGAGCCACCGTGCCCGGCAGAACCTATACATTCTTATTGAAGTCATGCAAAGATATTTTATATTCTACTTTTTCCCTGCTGTACATCATTTCCTACACCTTTTTGATGTACTATGTAACATTCAAACTTGCCCTCTTTAATGGTATAACATGGTTCAAGTTTATAACTGCACACCATAATGTATGTAATTGCCTTCTCATGTTTAAATCTTCATATTCTTTTCATTTTCCCCTGTTTATTATTGGTTGCAAGACAAGGAATATCTCTGTACACAGAGATTTTCCCCTTTCTTCTTGCCAGCCATGGTGACTTCTTTTCTTAGAATAAGTTCTTAGGAATGAAATACCTAGGCTGGGCGTGGTGGCTCATGCCTGTAATCCAAGCACTTTGGAGGCCAAGGTGGGCAGATCACCTGAGGTCGGGAGTTCAAGACCAGCCCAACCAACATGGTGAAACCCCGTCTTAAAAAAAAAAAAAAAAAGAAAAGAAAAAGGAAAAAAGGAATGAAATACCTAGTTTTCCCTCCCCACCCCCAAATTCTGAAAACTCTTTCTTCCTCTCTTTATTACTATAACCTCTTGCCTTTTCAGTCTTTTTGCTTATCCCTTTGCCTTCTCTAATATAACTGATCTCTGCCACTGGCTCTTAGAGTGGTTGTTTAGATACTGTAAAGTTCTCCTGCTCTTAAATCCCAGCTTGACCTCACTGTCTCTTAGGTGGTCCAGCACTGCACAGTGCATTGTGAAGGCTGCTCCTTGCTCTAATTTCTTAACCCTTCCCCTTGTTAAGTGTCTACTTCCTTCCTTCCATTCCACTTCTTTGCTAAGGTTAAAGTCTGCCAGTGATCTCTCTGTAAGTCCAAAGGCTTTTTTCTCTATTTTTATCTTTCCACCAGAGCTCCTGTCCTGAAGTGACTTTCCTCCTATCGTTCCTCAGGCCTTTCTCTTTCCTTTCCTGTCCCTACATAAGGATTATCTCTTTCATAACACTTTCTCTAAGGGTTGGGATATGCCTACCTCTTTCAAGTCCACAGTCAACCCAGGAATATCTCATCCCTTAACAAAACTTTGCCCCATTCTAAGTAGTTTAACCCCCTTTTGAATGAAGATGAAGTTGAGCGGGGAAAAGTAAAAACTTGCAGGCAAACAACATTGAGAAGCCTCTACTTAAACAGTTTCAAAAGAAACTCTTGAGATAAATTCAACCATCACAGGCCATACTATACTAATAACAGAAGATCTACAAAGTGATGTCCGTGGCATAGCAGCATCAGCGTCACCTGGGAGCTTGTTAGAAACGCTCAATTGTAGGCTCCACCTCAGATCTACTGAATCAGAATCTAGGTTTTTAATATAATCCTCAGTGATTCCCATGTGCAATGTAGTATAGGAAGCAATGGTCTAGTGGACCAGTGAATACCTGCCAAGAAGGACCTCCATCAGAAGGCCTCCAAGGACCCCTTGGGAACCTCAAACCAATGATTTACACCTCTTTTTTTTTTTTTTTTTTGAGATGGAGTTTCGCTCTTGTTAGCCAGGCTGGAGTGCAATGGCGCGATCTCGGCTCACCGCAACCTCCACCTCCTGGGTTCAGGCAATTCTCCTGCCTCAGCCTCCTGAGTAGCTGGGATTACAGGCACACGCCACCATGCCCAGCTAATTTTTTGTATTTTTAGTAGAGACAGGGTTTCACCACGTTGACCAGGATGGTCTTGATCTCTTGACCTCGTGATCCGCCCGCCTCGGCCTCCCAAAGTGCTGGGATTACAGGCTTGAGCCACCACGCCCGGCCTTGATTTATACCTCTTGCTGGGCGAGGATGGCTGCCATAGCTATCAGCCCTCTGATGACAGCTACCAACCAATCTCATGAATAGGTGGGGGGCCTCCCTCCCTCATCATTCTAGGTACAGGCACATTCCTTTGAAGCTGCAAAAGAGTTTGAAGAATACAATCATTCTCAGAGAAGAAGACTGTTCTTCAACCGAGAGTGTAGGCAAGGATATAGAATCACTGGTAAAGTGGACACATCCTACTAGGGGTTAGGAAACACTGTTTCCATCATTTTTCCTAACAAAAAATATGTGAACAACATAGAACTGAAAGACAAGAAATATTTATATTTTTCATTCTTTCACTCAGTAAATATTTAATGGGGCCAGGCGCAGTGGCTCATGCCTGTAATCCCAGCACTTTGGGAGGCCCAGGTGGGCAGCTCATCCGAGGTCAGGAGTTCGAAACCAGCCTGACCAACATGGAGAAACCCCATCTCTACTAAAAATACAAAACTAGCTGGGTATGGTGGCGTATGCCTGTAATCCCAGCTACTTAGGAGGCTGAGGCAGGAGAATCACTGGAACCCAGGAGGTGGAGGTTGAGGTGAGCAAATCTTGTGCCATTGCACTCTAACTTGGGCAACAAGAGTGAAACTCCGTCTCAAAAAAAAAAAAATTATTAAGCACTCATTATGTGCCAAACGTTATTCTAGGTGCTGGGGATACAGCAAGGAACAAAGCAAAGTCCCAGCCTTGGTGGAGTTCACATTTTAGGGCACCCAGGCATATTTTCCCAATATGCCAGTTCCCAACCTTTTTGGCACCCAGGACCAGTTTCATGGAAGACAACTCTTCCATGAAAATTTTGGGGGAAGGGGGTTTCAGGATGAAACTGTTCCACTTCAAATAATCAGACATTAGATTCTCATCAGGAGTGCACAACCTAGATCCTGTGTATGAGCAGTTCACAATACGGTTCACACTCCTACGAGAATCTAATGCTGCTGCTGATCTGACAGGGGACGGAGCTCTGGGGGTAATGATTGCAAGCCCACCAGCCGCTCACCTCCTGCTGTGCAGCCTGGCTCCTAACAGGACACAGACAGGGGACTTCTATTTTAGGGGATAGAGATGGACAGCAAACAAGTATATAATATGGCCTGTAGTGATAGCCCTTTTACGTAAAAATAGAGCCAGGCACAATGGCTCATGCCTGTAATCCCAGCATTTTGGGAGGCTGAAGAGGAAGGATCATTTGAGCCCAGGAGTTCGGGACTAGCCTGGGCAACATGGGGAGACTCTGTCTCCACAAATAATCAAAAGATTAGTTGGTGCGGTGGTGTGTGCTGTGGTCCCAGCTACTTGGGAGGCTGAAGTAGGAGGACTGCTTGAGCTCCGGAGGTCAAGGCTTCAGTGAGCCGTGATCATGTCACTTTATTCCAGGCTGGGCAACGGACTGTGACCTTGTCGCAATAAATTAAAGAAAGAAAGAAAAAGAAAAATAGAGCAGTGTAGCCACTATTTAAGATGGGTGATTAGGGAAGGTCTCTCCAAGATATAGACAGTTGGGTATAGGTGTGAAATGGGAAAGCAAGGCATTTAGGGGAAGAGAAGTCCAAGCAGAGGAAATGGCTAATGCAAAGGCCTGGAAGTAGAAACATGTTTAGCGTGTTCGAGGAACAGCGGAAAGAACAATGGGCATGGTTGGAGCAGATTAAGTAAGGAAGACAGTGTAATGAGATGTGACTGGAGAGGTGAGTGGAACCAAGTCATGTAGCGTCTTTAAGGAGCTTGGATTTTATGCCAAGTACAATGGAAACCATTGCAAGGTTTTGAGCAGAGGAGTGACATGATACGGTCTGTTTCTGGGCTGGATGCAATGACGTTACCTGCAATACTAGCACTCTGGGAGGCCAAGGCTGGCAGATTGCTTGAGCTCAGGAGTACAAGACCAGCCTGAGCAACATGGTGAAACCTCATCTCTACAAAAACACAAAAAATTGGTTGGGCATCCTGCTGTGCACCTGTAGTCCCAGCTACTCAGGAGGCTAATGTGGGAGGATTGCTTGAGCACAGGAGGTAAATGTTGTAGTGAGCTGAGATCGTGCCACTGCACTGCAGCTTGGGTGACAGAGCAAGACCCAGTCTCAAAAAATAAAAATAAAAAAGGCAGGGAGCCAAATAGCAGGCTGCTGTAAGCGGGTGTGTTGGTTGGTTAAGATTAGAGTGGTCAAGTGGTAGTGGTGGTGAAAAAGGTTCCCACAATCTCAGTTTCCCTAGCAAATACTATTTTAAAAGCCATCACCAGGTAACTGATGTGAATTAAAAAAAAAAAAATCTTAGAGGGGAAACAGATACAGAAAACTAAGTGTAGAAATAATGGGCTTCTTCTCTGGGTTGAGCGCTGCTAACAACATCCCCTGGGAATCAGTGTTATTTAACATTTCATAAAAGATTAAGAAAAAGGAATACTTTGAGATAGTTCTAGGTACACAAATTATACTTTCCTTTCCACATAGTAAAATGTCAAATCAATAGGGAGCATCTTATGGAACATCTCTAAAGCCATGTGCATAAGCTGGAAAGTGGCAGGTATCTTGTCACATGGATGAGTGTATGGCAGCTCACATAGGGGAAAACAATTCAGAGGATACCTTTAAGATGATGAACTCTGAACTGCCAGTTGCCACCAAGATAAGGAATCTAGAAGTTGTTTTAGATTTTTACTTCAAGACATCAACTCTTCTAAAGCCCAAACAGCCAGCAAAAGTTCTGGCTGTCCAGAATAAAGACAAAACATCCACCGTAACAAAGCCTTAGTACATTCCTCTTTGGGCTTTTTGTGCAGTTAAGAAAAAGAAGTGCCAGAGAAAGGTAGGTAAAATGATTAAAAGAATAGAGGGGTGGCTGGGCGCAGTGGCTCATGCCTGTAATCCCAGCACTTTGGAAGGCCAAGGTGGGTGAATCACAAGGTCAGGAGTTCAAGACCATCCTGGCCAACAGAGTGAAAGCCCATCTCTACTAAAAATACAAAAATTAGCTAGGTATGGTAGTGCATGCCTATAATCCCAGCTACTTGGAAGGCTGAGACAGGAGAATAGTTCAAACCAGGGAGTTGGAGGTTGCATTCCAGCCTGGGCGACAGAGCAAGATTCAGTCTCAAAAAAAGAAAAGAAAAGAAAAAAAGAATAGAGGGGTTTCCCCTCCCCTGTCCTGGGTTAAATGGCCATAAAGAAGACAAGATGAATGTGTATAAAAGCATTAAAGATTCAGAGAGAGTAAAAATAACTCTTTTCATAGAATCCTATAATTCTAAAATCTGGGGACAGAAGAAGCTTGAAAATGGGAGTAATGGGGCCAGGTGCAGTGGCTCACGCCTGTAATCCCAGCACTTTGGGAGGCTGAGGCGGGCAGATCACCAGGTCAGGACATTGAGACCATCCGGGTAACATGGTGAAACCCTGTCTCTACTAAAATATGAAAAATTAGCCAGGCGTGGTGGCTGGCACCTGTAGTCCCAGCTACTCTGGAGGCTGAGGCAGAAGAATAGCTTGAACCGGGGAGGCAGAGGTTGTAGTGAGTTGAGATCACGCCCCTGCACTCCAGCCGGGCGACAGAGTGAGACTCCGTCAAGAAAAAAGAGAAGAAAGGAAGGAAGAAAGGAAGGAAGGAAGAAGGAAGGAAGGAAGGAAGGAAAAAAAGAAAGAAAGAAAGGAGGGTAATGAAGAAACAGTCACTGGAGGACATATAAAGAAGGTCCTTCTTTGGCTGGGGCCAGGGGTCAGGTCTTTAAGCATTCTCCAGTGTGTGGAAGGACATGGCGTCGGGTCTTCAAGTATTCTCCAATATGTGGACGTACATGTGGTAGCTGCGAATGGGGGGTGAGTGAGGGCGTGGGGGACACCTCAACAGTCCTTCAATGGGACAAAACCCACTCTAGACTGGTGCCTACTTTCTCTCTGTCCCCAAATCACCACGGAATACAAACATAAAAACTCAAAAACAGCAAAAAACACCGACAAGATATTCAAAATGCTAATATTAAGTCTCATTGTCTGTGAAAATTCGATTGAAAATAAATCCAAGAGTGCAAGATTTATAATAGATTAACAAGGGAAATTAAGGATATTGGTGGGGCCGGGAGGAGACGCATCGTTAACTTTTTGATTCACACGATGGAGCTATACTGTGTCCTTCAAAGAAATGGTACTTGGTAAGCTGAGTTGGACGGCTATCATAAACCATTTCCTATACACTGTTAGCATAGTCAGAAAGTGAGAGTTATGGATTGACATCTGGATTAGATCATTTGAATTTTTCACCCACAGCACAAGTCCTTCCATCGTTTTCAATAAACAGAGCGACAGGGAGACTCTGATGAACCGTTGCTCACGTGTTGAACAGTTAGCAACCCCGGGCTATCGGATCCCTGATGACCTTCCTTCAGAAAAACGAACGGACATCTCAACGGAACGAGGAAGGGGAGGGTAATAACCAGAGTGTCACTGAGTTGAGAGATGATAAAAATGGACCACAATCAACACAGGGGCCCTTACTTTTAGGTTAAAGATTTCTATATACAAATACATATTATGCTCGCCCTTGCCAAAAGATATTAGACTCAGGAAATTCATTCTTCACGAAGAAAATAATCCCCTCTCTTCCATTCCTCCTTAGGTCCCTTACTTTACCTGCTTCTTTCCTCTCGAGGGTAGGAACTTTGAGCCCCGCCTCTCTGCCTCTCCAAGCTCCTCCTTCCCCGTCCACCTGTGTGCCCTGCCCCTGACGTTACCCGTTGGCTTCAGCGGCTTGCAGGATTCCGGCTCCCGATTGGTCGGCCCGTCCACGGCCTGCGCAGCCCACCAATGGCAGCGGCGCTGGGTGGAGGGGTGCCCACATCCAAGATGGCGTCCCCAGGAGCTGAGAGTGGGTGACCGGCGGCGGGGAAGCGGCCTGGGTTGGCCCTCAGATTGCGGGGTCTGGGGGCATCTCTCCAGGCAGCGCCCCTGGCCCGCCTACAAGGCCTTCCCCCGGCCAGAGCAATGGCCGCTGAGAACAGCAAGCAGTTTTGGAAGAGGAGCGCTAAGCTGCCGGGGAGGTGAGCCCAGGACGCTGAGAGGGAAAGGGGATTGGACCAAACCCTTCCAGATCCTAATCCCTAATCCCGCGGGCCTGGGGCGCCACCGAGGCCGGAAGACTGGTTTGGGGAAGCCGGGCTGGGGAAACTGGGGCTGCCTAGTGGCGGCAAGGCAGCTGTCAGGCAGAGGAGCGAACAGCGAGCTTTGGGGACGGCTGGATGTGGGTGTAGACTGGGGGCTGGGGGCGGAGGTTTCAGGAGGGGTGACCTCAGCTGGAAGGTGGCGGAAGATTGGGCGTAACCCGCAGTGGAGTTGGGTAAGAAGTCAGTGTCGGCCCTGGTGTCGGAGGTTCATCCCCAGAGCTGCTTCCCACTCTAATCAGAACTCCCTCTCAGGGGTCTCCACCACGCACAGGTGGTTGCTCGCTTGAGGATGGCCCCTTCCCTTGCTCCCCTAGCTGGACACTTACCCGAAGGGTTCTGGTGGGAGTTTGTGGCCGCTTGCCGAGAGGGTTAGGCAAGAAAAGTGAGGACAATTCTCAAGCCCGACCTTACTTTATCTTGAGTTGGCCCTTTCCCACTAGGAATTAATACGAGGCGACCACAGAATCAGGGTTATTCCTTTGGCATTTTCTAAGGAATTGTCCAACCCCAAGTGACTTCTTCCTTCCTTGCATTGTAATGCTCTTCTTGTGCAAATGCACTAAATTCTTTTATTCTACAGTTGTTTAGCTGGAGAGCAGACCTCCTAAGACTACCCCCCACCCTCTTTTTGGTGTATGAGACTTTTAGCAAATTACTCATCCATCAATCTTGGTTTACTGTTTCAGTTTATTTTGGGGAGAGTCCTGAGAAGTATAAGGAAGAGTGCTGTATTTCAGTCGTGAATTTAAGATTTCTGCCAGCCACAGTCTACTTGATGATGAAATTCATGTTTGGTTGTGCCCCATGTGCTACCTTTTCTAGTGGATTCAGGTTTTTTCCTTCTGAGATAATCTTTTGAACTCGTGATTTTTTTTTTTGAGACGGAGTCTCTCTGTTGCCCAGGCTGGAGTGCTCAAGCGATTCTCCTGCCTCAGCCTCCTGAATTGCTGGGACTACAGGTGCACACCACCACGCCTGGCCTATTTTTGTATTTTTAGTAGAGGCGAGGTTTCACCGTATTGGCCAGGCTAGTCTCGAACTCCTGACCTCGTGATCCACCCACCTCAGTCTCCCAAAGTGCTGGGATTACAGATGTGGGCCACTGTGTCCAGCCAACTTTACTTATTTATTTATTTATTTATTTATTTTTTAAGCAAGAGAGAAATGAGGGTCAATAGTGGCTAGATAAGAGCCTTAATTTTTTTTTTTTTTTTTTTTAATGAAATAAGAGACAAGGTCTCACTCACAGTGTTGCCAGGGCTAGTCTCTAACTCCTGGCCTCAAGTGATCCTCTTACCTTGGCCTCTCAAAGTGTTGGGATTTCAGGCGTTAGCCACCATGCCCCAGCAAGTCTTATTTTATTAAGGGTCCTATTTAGGACATATGGAGAATAGGGTGGAAATCAGCTTTTAGTAATATTTATTAAACTAATAGGAATGCAAAGATAACTTCAGATTAAAGTGCTGTGGATTTACAGTGTTAATATTACTGTTAAAGATGTTCTATGTCTTTAGGTAAGCACCACTTCCTGCCAGCTGATTTGTTTTCCTTCCTGGTCTAGTGAGCTCTCTAGTTGTGCTGACTGCTATTCTCTGGGATTTTCCATAGTGAGATCATTAAGTTTTGACATCCTAAGATTATAATCAGAATCCATAGGAAAACTGTTGTACCAGGAAGCAGTGTAAGAGATGTGTGACATGGCATGGCCTTCTCTGCCTTCTGACTGGTGTTTGCTATTAACAGTCTTTTCCCCCCGTATCTCCTGTGTTTGACTAGAACAGTCAACTTTTTTTAAAGTACTACTTTTCTGAGATAGGAAGAGAAGTCTTTTCAGTTTCCTCAAGTTTCTGGATTCCCTTTTCATTTTGAAGAATATAGAGAAATTGAGAGAGGGCCGGGAACAATGTCTCACGCCTGTAATCCCAGCACTTTAGGAGGCTGAGGTGAGCAAATCATGAGGTCAGGAGTTTGAGACCATCCTAGCCAACATAGTGAAACCCCGTCTCTACTAAAAATACAAAAATTAGCTGGGTGTGGTGGCGCTGTAGCCCCACCTACTCGGGAGGCTGAGGCAGGAGAATCGCTTGAACTTGGGAGGTGGACGTTGCAGTGAGCCGAGATCATGCCACTGCACTCCAGCCCGGTGACAAAGGGAGACTGTGTCTCTAAATAGATAAATAGGCGACAAAGCAAGACTCCGTCTCTAAATAAATAAATAAGTACATAGAAATAGAGAACTCTTGCCGGATGCGGTGGCTCATGCCTATAATCCCCGCACTTTGGGAGGCAGAGGCGGGCAGATCACGAGGTCAAGAGATCAAGACCATCCTGGCCAACATGGTGAAACCCCAGCTCTACTAAAAATACAAAAATTAGCTGGATGTGGTGGTGTGCACCTGTAGTCCCAGCTACTTGGGAGGCTGAGGCAGGAGAATTGCTTGAACCCGGGAAGCGGAGGTTGCAGTGAGCCGAGATCCCGCCACTGCACTCCAGCCTGGCGCCTGGCAACAGAGCAAGACTCTGTCTCAAAAAAAAAAAAAAAAAGAAAGAAAGAAAGAAAGAGAGAACTTTTGAGTTCAGAAAGACTTGGGTTACTATTTGGACTCTTGTGTGTGTGACCAAGACAAATAATCTTTCTAGGCTTCAGTTTCCCTAGGAAATGAGAAATAAAAATACTTTCTCCAGAGTTACTGTGGGGACTAACTGAAATACCCTATTTGTAAAGAACCTAGGGCAGATTTATTTAGCCCATTGTAGTTGCTCAAAAAACAGTAGCTATTAATATTATTGTCATTAATAGAGCAAGTAAACATTTAAAAGCATGTTTCTCAGATCCTTATCCCAGCTTGTTGTCTTCGTTAAGGATTAAAATATTGTTACAATTCATAATAGTTTGGTAAAGTTAAATATTGTTCAGCTGTGTGCTTCTAGCAGTGAAGCCCACGAGCCACTGGTCATAGGAAAAAACTAAGGTTTTTTTCTTTCTTTGTTTGTTTGTTTTTGTTTTTGTTTTGAGATGGAGTTTTGCTCTTATTGTTCGGGCTGGAGTGCAATGGCGCGATCTCGGCTCACGGCAACCTCCACCTCCCGGGTTCAAGCGATTGTCCTGCCTCAGCCTCCCAAGCAGCTGGGACTACAGGCATGTGCCACCACGCCCGGCTAATTTTGTATTTTTAGTAGAGGCAGGGTTTCTCCATGTTGGCCAGGCTGGTCTCCAACTCCCAACCTCAGGTGATCCACCCACCTCTGCCTCCCAAAGTGCTGGGATTACAGGCATGAACCACCATGCCCCGCCCAAAACTAAGGTTCTTTTAGATAGAAAGGTACTTTGATTTAAAGAAAATGTTAGGACATTTTCTCAAGAATAGAACTTTTGCATCTGTACTTTCAGTTTTAGAGAAGAAAAACTTTCTCCCGGGTGGGGAGATGACACAAATGACTGTACTAGATGCTTTGCAACTTGGAAATGAAACTAGTTTACTCTTCTTTGCCAATTGAAAGGTGAAAGATCAAAGTGATGACAGGTTTCTTTCAGTTTGTCTGATCACGATCCAGCAACCTTAGTGACACCAAATAGAACTTTTATTAAATAAAATAACAAGTTGAAAATGAATGAAACATTCTTTTTAAAAATAACAGCGTTATTGAGATATAATTCACATACCATAAAATTTACGCTTTTAAAGTGTACATTTCAGTAGTATTTAGTATATTCATTCATAGTACAGATGGTTTTGTACAACCATCACCACTAATTTCAGAACATTTTCATCACCCCAAAAAGAAACTACATGCCTGTTTGCAGTCACACCCCATCCACCCCACTCCAGACCCTGGTAACTTTAATCTACTTTCTGTTTCTGTGGATTTACCTCTTTTGGATATCTTATATAAATGCAGTAATATGATGTGAGGTCTTTTGTGGCTAGCTTCTTTTTTAAGCACAGTGATTTCAGGCTTGTCCATGTTGTGGCATGTATCAGTACTTCATGACATTGTATGGCTGAATAATATTCCATAGGGTAGATACACATTTTGTTCATTCATCAGTTGATGAACATTTGAATTGTTTTTGCCTTTTGGTTATTGTGAATAATGCTTTTATGAACATTTATGCACAGGTTTTTGTATGGTTATATATTTTCTATTCTTCTGTGGATAAATAGGAATGGAATTGCTGGGTCATGTGGTAACTTGGTGGAACTAAACATCTTTTTAAGTTCTCTCAGTTATTCACATAAGCCCCATGCATTTAGCACATCAAATGGTCATTGTATTGATGCCTAGGAGATAAGAGGCAATCTGTACCATTGTGGTTAAGAATGCAGGCTTTGGTGGGCAGGGTACCTCACACTTGTAATCCCAGAACTTTAGGAGGCTGAGGCTGGTGGATCATTTGAGGCCAGGAATTCGAGCCCAGCCTGGCCAACATAGTGAAACCCCCATCTATAATAAAATACAAATTAGCTGAGTGTGGTGGTGTGTGCCTGTAATCCGAGCTACTCAGGAGACTGACATATGAGAATCGCTTGAACCTGGGAGGCAGGAATTGTGTGAGCCAAGACTGAGTCACTATGCTCCAGCCTGGGCAACAGAGCGAGATTCCCATCTCCAAAAAAAAAAAAAAAAAAAAAATATGGGCTCTGAAATCTGACTCCCTAGGTTCAAATCCCAGCTCTGCTTTCTAGCTATGTGATCTTGTAGAATTTAATTAACCTCTTAATGCCTCAGTCTTCTCATCTGTAAAATAGGGACAGAGTATCTGCCCCAGGGGGCTGTTATGAGGATTAAATGAGATAATACTTAAAAATTGGTTAGGAAGTACACGATAATATTACCTATTATAAGAATGATAATTCCAATGCTAGTAGCTATCATTTTTGTTTTCTCTCCTTGCTTTAGTTTTTGAAACTGGAATTGAAAAGCTTTGATCTGGCTGGATGTGGTGGCTCACACCTGTAATCCCAGCACTTTGCGAGGCCGAGGCGGGCAGATCATTTGAGGTGAAGAGTTCGAGACCAGCCTGGCCAACATGGTAAAACTCTGTCTCTACTAAACATA